CAAATTACATATGACTGAATCTTAAATCGTCCGTGGTCGAGGTAATAACGAGATACGGATATCGTTATTACGGATAGACTATCGCGTGTGGTATTCTTACTTGTAAAGTAAGTAGCTGATCTCACAAGCTAAAGTGTGGTGACACTTGAATGAACACGTGGATGTTTTGTTATAGAACAAAACATTGGAGACCCGCTGAGAGATTCCACATGGATAACTATCTAAGTGTTAGTGGTTAATCTCTAACGTTCGGTAGTGGAATTGGTCCTTTGACTTGAGGTCATCATAGTACCTTATATGAGGGCAGTCATACTTTGGTGATGTTGGATGTTGCTCTGTCAAGGGTCGCTAATACAGCATCGTTCGGGTATGTCAAGAATCATATGAAGGTTGTGAATGATCAATAGAGGATTCGTCACTCTTAGATAGTAAGAGATTATGATCTACATTTTATCCAGTTAAGTTGATAATGAAATCCTTGGCCAAGGTGAACTCATAAGTCGGAAAAGAGTTTTCGACGTACATTGACTTAACAGTGGGATAAAAGATATGATCGATAATTGAGATTGACACATATCCATATCTCATAATTGATCGGATCATATTGACGAAAGGATTATAGTTTCACGGTAAACGAACAAGTTTGGTTTTGTCATGCTACGTGATATTTCCCGTCACATGTATTGCCCTGATACATTGCTAGATGTCAATCTGGGACAACGAAAATGAATTAGTGATAAATTAAAAGGGGCGTTTTAATTTATCGATTTTGATTAGATCAAAATAATAATTCACGTCGTTCGGCATCGTGATCGGGAACCTAATGGGTCACACACAAAAGAGAATCAGAAGAATGAGATTTACCAATTAATTAATTGACAAGTGTTGGATAATTAATTAATTGGATTGTTTATTAATAGGCTCGAATTAATTAAATGGATTAATTAATTCATGGACCAGACTTAATTAATTTGATTAATTAAATCTTGGACCGGGTTAAGTTTAATAGATGGGCCGAGCCCATCTGGACTTATATTAATAGACTACTAGGGTTTGAAAAGTGTATGGAATTTTATTATTCTTGCTAGCACAAGAAAAGAAAACCCTAGCCGTCATTCTTATTCTCTGTGTGGATCACCATTGGAGGCTGGACAATTGGACAGCTTGGATTGCAGATCGTGATCATTGGAGTTCAAGAAAAAGCAAAAGAGTTTGTGGAATTCATCAAAGGTATCATTCTCATCACAGTTTCTATCTAAACACATTGCAGATCCTCGTTTGGGAATTGAAAATTGTTTAATTTCCGCTGTGCATGTTAAGTAAATTCCTAACATGGAGTCCGTGGTCAGATGGAAGTTTTGACTGGCAAAGAAAAATCTTTGTTTGGCAACTCAAGGATGTCCCATACTGTGTCCCGTGAAACATCTACCAACCAGCATGTTTTTGTGCAACCTCGCGTGGTTGCTTCTGCTCAGGCAAATTTACATACAGTCAACCCGGAGAAAGAGTATTCTAATTTTGAAGCAGTTTCTAGTGCAAGTTGATTTCTTTCTCTGTCATGGTCTTCATTTCAAGTTTGTGGGTTTCACGTTGATTGTCTTCTATCAGAGCCTAGTCAGGTTAGTGTGGGAGTCAACACTTTGTTATGTTACTTAGAAAATGAACGTGTAATTGGTTTATGCACGGGAAAAGCCCACGGATCAAGTTTGTGAGGCTTACCTGTTTTGCTGCTGGGATAATTTCTAGGGCACTTCAAGGGATCCTAGTCCTCCTTGGTGTAGTGTAATTCGAGGTACCCTAGACCTCCTGATTTAACAAAAAGTTGAAAGGATAATTCTTTAATATTTTTAGTCATAACATGCAGGCATTAAATAGCCTGTTGGCTTACATATGATAATGCATATTGTCAGGATTGTCGATAAGGTAGTGTCTGTCATAAAGTGATTGCATGAAGGAAGTTGTCTAGAAGGCCTAATTCTCTGATTGTTAAGCTGTCTAATTGGACTCAAATCAAGCTTTTTTTTTTTAATTATGAGCACGTTCTGTTAGATTGTCTAGAAACCATGAAACTGAGGCTTGAAATGCAGCGTGGGGCTAATGCTAATTTACAGTTGTTCGGGATATATTTGATTTTCCGTTTTCATAGCTGCTGTCTATTTATAGCTTCAAATACTCTTCACGGGATAATAGGTGCATAATATCTCGTTTAAAATATTGGAACATCCACATTTACGATAATAACTTCTGTACATGGAAATTACCAGGCTGACATTTGAACGAACTGTTTTTCCTTAAATGGATTTTGAATGTTGCCTTCCTGCAAGGCCAATTATTCTGACCATGTTATATTCTTAGTTTGCGTCATGTATAAGTTTAAGATTATCTGTCTAAAATTTAAATTGCAAAGGTTGATCAATGCCTGTTTGTGTACTGCAGGTGTTTATCATTCCTGTTGCTCCAGGAGATGTTATCATTGCCAGGACTGACGGGCTGCTCGACAATTTGTATAACAATGATATTACTGCAGTAGTGGTTCAAGCTGTGAGAGTGGGATTAGAGCCTCAGTTTACGGCACAGAAGATAGCAGCATTGGCACGTCAATGAGCACAGTACAAAAACGGGCAGACACCTTTTTCTGCTGCAGCCCAAGCACTAGCAGCTGGGTTCCAATATAATGGTGGAAAGCTTGATGACATTACTGTAGTGGTTTCTTACATTAGCAACAACGAGGAAGTATTAATTCTCTCCCTCCCTACTTCCCCATATGTGTGTGTGTGTGTACCTGTGCTATATATCTTTTTGTGCGTGGAGTGTAGAGATTTTCGTTCTCAGCCTGCAATTATCTGAACCCCCTGCAGGGCTTTTAGTTCAATTCGGTATCAATTTTTTTTTTACTTGCGTTGTTGGATCTATCCTTAAATTTATACCCATATATCCTCTGTCAAATATGTTGAGAAAGCCGTTAGGCCCTTTACATCTTCAAGAGTAAGCCATATCTAGTATTTCATAAATGGACTTATAGTTTTCTTCCGTTTTGGTTTTATTTAAATCAAACTCGTACAAAATGGGAATAGTTCATCAATAAGAGAAATGCGGATGCATTTTTTCCATTTCTTTTTCAATTCTGTATCATGATGAGATAAAAACCAACAGTAAATTGAAATTGACAGTTCCATGGAATGACAAAAACAGTATAACTACCATTTATCGTAAATTCCTGCTATCGGCTATATCCCATTGTTTCTCCAGAGTCCAGACTGTACTTCACAGGTTCTTATTAACTCTTCAGATTTCGCAAAAATTTGCTAATTTATGTTGGCATTTTAATGTTTGAGATGCTCTTGTATCTTTTCCTGCTGCAATATGTTGATATATTTTTCATCGGTTTGCTGATTCTAGGCTAAGTTGTCAACTTAGCCTCAAGGAAAAGTTGACTTGACAGCACCATGTTTGAATTATTTTTCGAAAATCTCTTTAGATCTTGAAAGAAAAAGAATGTATATTTGTTTTTCTTCATTCCCCACCTTTCTTAGCACCCTAGTGTCATGACTGAATGGTGATGGTTGGGCATTTTTGTTGTGCAGGAAAGCCTTGGTGGCTCTAGTTAGAGCGTGTAACTGGATGTGGGTTATTTTATCATTTTCCAACAAAATCAGGCTCCTTTCTGTTGGGAAATGCTGACATTTCGTAAGCACAACTTAGCACAAGGTTATTTCTCATTGCTGTGAATGATGATACCACTCTTTGTATTTAGTTTTGTTGCATATACGAGTTTAGAGCTACAGTGATTTTACATACAAATTAGAACAGCTGTACACAGAATCACATGGTAGAATGGTGAGTTAATCCACTTTTTGTCTTTTTGTCCCTTTTTTCCCCATAGGTTTCTGTACTTGTTACAGTAATAAATACTGGGTTTACAATATTAATTCGCCGGCGAAGTTTCTTCTCATCCAAGTTGCATTTTTTTATGCATAGACCTTCTTAAGAAAGGATAGTAGACAACTAAGACGCCCATTAATGAGCATGCCTGTGTTGTGCGCTCAAGCGCATACATTGTCACACGAACGCACGTGCACACATGCTCAAATGTTAGTGTTGGCTTTTTCTTATTTATTATTGCAAGTCTTGTTCACTGCTTTATTGCAATTATTTTCTATGTGGACAATGATGTTTCCTTTTCTGCTTGGCACTGTATAGGAGGAGGTAGGGGAACTACTTTGGTCTGACATGTCCATTGGGTAGCGGAACGAACTCTGGTGTTTGTTTCACACGGGAAGCGAGAATTGAATTCGTTGAGACACGAGATCACTAAATCTAAGCAATGAACCGCAGAATAATGTTATCCTTCCTATGATTAATTACATTTGCCAGGAATCTCCAGGTTTATGCTTATTTGGCTTTAAAATGTTCAATCTTAGTTCTTCTTTGTACTAATGAAGTCCAAATGCTTGTAGTTATCCATATAATCACTCGTAAAAGAGTACTGGTCGAGAGTTGAGACATTTGTTAGCTAAAGGACTATAGTGTCCTATTTTAAATGCTGGATTGAACATCACCGGACATGATTAAGACAGAAAAGAAAAGTTGAACTTTGTCCATTGTCTTGTATAGTGTTGTCAAGTACTGCATTTCAAACATATGCGGAAGTATATATTTGTACTTCGTTTGTCTTGATCTTGAACATATAGATTCTAAGAGGAAATAATAAAAGAACTCAATCAGCATAACTTAGTGAAATTTAGTAGGATTTGCAAGAATCTAGTGCCAAGACAAACAATACTAACATGTCTGGTAAGCTGGATTAAATAATACGATATTAGAGTAGAAAAGAAAATCTAACATATCGTTCATTGTATTTTCCAGTCGTTCCAAGCATATATAAGCTGCTATAATTAGGCATGTCTAGATTTGTACAACTGAAGTCTAACCATTGTTGATACCTCATATATATAATTGATGAATTCCATTAGACTTTTATAACCCGTATTGATATTCGTTCATTCATTCATTCGTTTTGCTTCTGGAGATGAACCCTGATTTAAGACTGGATCTTGATTTGAGAAAATGTTGTTGGAATCATCATCAAGAGGATCAAAGAAAATATAGATATGGGATCCATCTTGAACGCCATACACCATGAGAGAGACGTCGTTTTCATCCATGAGGCATCGAGGACTATCGTTGAGCATCAGAATGAGTCGATCCTCTGGTAGGTTTTTTTGAATTCCTATCTCTCTCTTGAGATCTGCTACTGTGGCATTGTCTTCTACTTGTATGTAGAATAGTTTTCCTGTCATTATCTCTGCTACCAGTTTCATTTTTCAGGAAAGCTGCAAATCTCTTCTATGCTGATTCATTTTTGAACTGTTTCTCAATGTATTTTGATGTCATTTGCATGCATTTCTGGTTTGTCTCTGTGTGTGTGTGTGTGTGAGAGAGAGAGAGAGAGAGAGAGAGGGGAAAACTGATCACAAAGACTGCATTTTCTATTGTCAGTTTCATAGAATGCATGTTTTGATCTGATCAGAGTAAAAACTGCCTGGAACAAGAGAACTTGATTACCAATTCTGATAAAAGTTTTATTAAATAGGAGATAAATTTGATTTTTATATATTATTTTCAATACATTTCTTTATTGTAGATTTTCCCGTTCTCTTACTCACACACCCTAACCTAAAAAGTAGTTTTTAAAAACTATAAGACAATAAGTAATATATCAATCATCAAGATCACGAAAGTTCAAAACAAAATATAGTCATAATATGAATACACAAATCAATTTTCATTCGCATACAAAAAATTGTTTAATATATAATAGAAATGATTCACTAAATTAATTGCAACAGTTTTGACGGCATACGTCCACAATAAGTGATGAATTATGCAAAACTTATACAATCCATTTTTACAGACAATCATTAACTGTTTAATACTCCATGAATGTTTTATTGGATTTTCCTCTATTTGTGAAGAATACAAATAATTCATCAAACAATTAAGGTAAAAAAATAGTTTAAAGACTTTTTAAGTGGCTGACCAATTTAATATTCAAAGAGTTTCACCAACGTGATAAAATGTGGTGTCAGCGTGCTGCGACGTTATATAAATTGAGAAGGAGTGAAGAAGAAATGATTAAAACGTATACAAAATTAGAGTGTACATAATTAATAACATGTTTCTAATTATCCAAAATTGATTAATGTGTTGTATTCAATTAATGGATTGTCTCTAATGAATACACAATTTGGGTCTCCACTAATTAATATATATAAAAAAATAAATTAACATTAAGTTTGGTTTCGATTCTCAGTTCTAGAACAAGAATCGAAACAGAATCATAACTAAATGGTTCTCGATTCAAAGAACAAAAATCATAATTTGTTTCTGTTAGAATCGAATTGAACTGAACTGAACCGCTCGAATTAGTTTGGTTTGATCTAGACATTTTGTCCACCCCTGCATTTTGCATATGAGGTTTACCTTACGGATACCGTATTTTATAAATATGTATTTTACTTACTGCATTTTACTTGATGATTATAAAAATTACTTTTTGTTGAAAATTTATAAATAAGCCATTATAAATAGTTGAATAATATGATTGAAATAACAAATCACATTATATATTTTATTTTAACGTCAAATTCTTAATTGCTTTCCTCTAATTAATAACTTTGTTCAACGAATAAAAATTAAAAATAATTCATTAAAATAACTTTATATATTAGTAGTTATTCTGTAGCTTAATGTTTGATTGTGATAATTTTGCAATTGAAAACATTGTTAAGAATGAATGTATGTATAGTTCTATTATTAATATCTATTGCAAATGATTTTTTTTTTTTTTTTCCTTTTATGCTTGAAGAATATTTAAATTTAATTAATAAAATAATGCAATTTTGTGTAAAAAAAATGAAAAAGGGACATTTTTTTTTTTTTTTCCTTTTCTGCTTGAAGAATATATAAATATAATTAATAAAATAATGCAATTTTGTGTAAAAAAAATGAAAAAGGGACAAAAATTACGTAAAAGTGATAGTGAAAAGATTCAACTGAACGTTAATTTATAGAGGGATATATAAATAAGAAAGAAAAAAATTAATAAAATAGTAATTGAACTTTTGGAGAATAAAAATTAAAACATCAATCATGCTACATTACATTTTTTACATTATTTTTTACACTGTCCACATGATAGTACACCATTAAACAGTAAAAAAAAAAAAACACACACACACACACACACACTTTTCCGCCAACAACTTTTTGAACTCCATTGGGATGTAAACTATATAGTCAACCAAATAATGTACACTTAGCATTATTCATAAAACAAATAAGCGAAAAATTCATTTTTTCTACTTTATCTGTACTCTATTTCAAAAATAACAAAACAACTTTCACATTTCAAAATCAGATTTTTTAACTTATACATACACATATATATAAATATTTATTCATATATATAAATATATAAAAAGATATAAATAAATAAATATAATTAACCCACCTCCACCACCCCCACCCCACCACTCCGACGACTATTCTGGCGACCGCTCCGGTGTCGATTCCCGCAACTGCTCCAGTGACCGTTCCGGCAACTGCTCCGATTTCGACGACTCAAGTCACAAGTCACATCCCAGGTCACAATTCAGGTCACAGTCAGGTCACAAGTCACAGTCCAGGTCACAACTCAAGTCACAAGTCACAGTCCAGGTCACAAATCAGAATTTTGTTCATAGTCACGAGTTATTATTATTATTTTTTTATAAGGATCACATGTTATTTTCAAATGATCACAGGTAAATTTTTTGGTGACAACTTATGTAATTTTGAGTCACAGTTCGAATTTTAAGGGTCGCAGTTAACTAATTGGTCACAGGTCAACTACTGGATCATGTACCACCATCACTTCCAAATGTCTCCACAGCCATCGCTCCGGCTGTAAACCATGACAATATCCAGCACCAACAAAATCGTCGCCACCACCTCAGAAATTATAAAATCCACAAAACCACCACCCCGCCACCACATATACATACTTCATCACCACCACAAAACCGCCCCCGCCAAACCCCTCACCACCACACCCGCAACACACACAGAGCACCACCATCTCCGTTTACACCACCCCCACACCAAAGAATCCACAAAACCTGACGACAGCAACCACATCAAAAATCGCAACAAAACATGTCGAACAATCACCACAAAACCAGCCACACAACGCCGCAAACCACCACAAGCAGCTTCAGCCGCTACCCCACCCATCTAGGGTTTATTTAATTTAGGCATTGAATCCAATTTTTGACTAGCAATCGACGGATCTGAAGGGAGGCGAAAGAATTGACGAGGGGCTGAGGCGAAAGAAACTAGATGTGAAGGCGAGGGCTGATGGAGCCACAACGGTCGTCATCGACGGTGATAAATGGAAGGTTGTTTTCAGCGCCGACGGCGGGAGTACAGCCGAGTAACGCTGCTGCGAGTTCGCAACATCTTTCGCCAATCACGTTTGACGATATTGGCAACGACAGCTTCCGCTGGGAACGACTCAGTGTCTGCCGGTAATGCTCCTCCGATGAAGCGCCTCAACGCCGGAGCTGTGTTGCTGGCGAAGAGATGGTGTAGGGTGAAGGCGGCGGTGTGTAATGGAGAGAGAGAGAGAGAGAGTGTGAATTGTTTGTAGGGTTTGTGAATTGTNGGTTTGTGAATTGTGTATATTATAATTAATTATAATATTATTATTAATATTTAATTAAACATAAAAAAATATGTATCTATATATTTAAGTATCTGATTTTTGAAATTTAAATCACCAAATCTGATTTTAGAATTTGAATCTCCAAATGTAGGGAATGGTGTAATTTCCACAACAAATAGTTAGAAAATTGGTATATTAAGTATTACATTAGTAAAAAGGCTGCAATTTGTTATTTTCAATTATGGGTTTTTGGTCCATTAATGGTAAATTTGTAATTTTCAATCAAAGTTTTTTGTTATCACTGTTTGGGGCAGATTTTATTCTCAAAATGTATAAAAAAATTGAATGTTGAAACAGTGTTTGCTGACATCACAGTACAATAATCACTGTACAAACGGAGGCTAAACAGAATGTGTGGCTAATTATACCTTTTACCCAAACCAAATGCATTCACTTTTCCCCCACATGGAAGGGCAAAATCGAAACGGCAGAAACATATAGGATTGAAATCATTACAAAGTTATTGTAGCGGATGTGCTTGATTTGACCAAAAAATGCATTTTTTGTGTGAAAATGGCAAACAAACGGAGGCAAATTTGTAAAATGTAGATGTAAAGTGTAAATTTTAATAAGACAATACATAAATTATAAATTTGTACATATGATTTGTTTTGTAAGTCCTTTGTATGAATGCACAACAACAACTAATTTAATTATTATTTCTAAATTAATTTAAAATCAAATATATGAATTATTCTTCGTCTCAAATTATTCCATAGCCTTTTTTCTCTATATAATCTAGCACATCCACCCAAAAATCCAAGAAAAAAGGAAACTAGGGAGTAAACCGGTTAAAATTCTTGTTCGTCCGTTCAATCAACAGACATGCTTGTAAATGGTCTTTAAACTCTAAGAAAGTCAATATTTAGTTATTAAACTTTATAATGTTCAATATGTTATTCACTAAAATTATTTCTGTTCATAGAAACTTACGATGATGTTGATTTAAATGATGATATACTGATGCGGCATGACGATGGGTGGTGATTGTCTAAAAAGCTATGGATGTCACCTTCGAAGCTCAAAAACAACTTATAATTTCATTATAACTTACATGATCAAACAAATACAAAATAAATATCACTAAATAAAAACAAAATTGTACGTTAAATCTTCCTCAATCGCTCTCATACTTCTGAGGTCGAGGAATGATCACATTTTTAATCAATTGAGCTTGTGTTACGAACAATTGTGTTTATAGATATATAAAAACGAGCAGTGAATAAGTAAAATACTGCTATAAATTTATTAAATATAAGAAGAATAATGTTA